CAAGACAAAGCTCACCTGCTTGTATCAGCTAAATCCCACCGCCCTATTCCAAGCACTGTGACTCATTTATGAGCAAAGTCACAAGAGGAGGTTCCCTTGCCGGGCCCATACCGTAAAACGCCACCCATGGTATTTCTTAATTACTTATCCTGCCAAGCGACAACATAACCAAATACCAATTCTTGTGAGTATTCTCCTTGCAGATGTTCCAAACAATCATGGATCTAAACAAAAACAGTGAAATCAATGACTATCTTAATATGCCATTCTCAGAGGCGATCTAAACATCTCTAACGTCGTCCACAAGTAACACTATACTCTCTTGGACAAATTAGTTTGTTACTCTGCTATAAAACCTCACACACCTACTGCGCGTTTCCCATACCTCACTTACATGACGGTGGAATAACGGACTATGAGACATCTGCATGAATGCTCCCACTTATTACCAGTAGCCCTGCTGAGACCTAGCAAGCCCTGAGTTGTTTCACACCGACCTGCCAGTCCTGGGTCCGGTAGTGGCTACGCGTCGAGTGCTGTATGCGAACCCGAGCAGAGAAGCCTTACTCCCCACTATTTACCAAAGTCTCTACCTACTATCTACCACAACACCATACCACTACCTATACCCCCTTATATCTCGCACACTACCTCTACTATTACCCACTACATACTGACACACTACCACTACCTATACCTCCTACTATCACCTGCCACACTACCACGCGTACTACTATACCACTACATACACCTGCACACATACCACTACTTATTACGCCCTACTCACTACTGCCAACACTAACCCTACTACATTACCCTTACTACGCCCTACATCATATACACTAACACTACAACCCTACCATACAATCTTATGCTTACCCTCACTACTGCCATAATATAACTGCACCTAAATACCCTCAAACCCATCCTTAACTAACAGCTACTACCATCCCATATATAACTTGCCCAAATCACCTCAAACCACCGTCAGCTAACAACAGCTACTACCTGCATATATAACCTAGCACACCTACACATACCACTTAAACCCCGCTCCTAACTACACAGCTACTACCTGCCTATCATGAACTGCACACTAAAATACCTAAACCACCGCACTCCTAACGTACACACTACTAACCTGCATAATACCTAACTCCACCAAAATACCTAAACCCCGCTCCTACTAACCACACTAACTACCTCATATATTAACTGCACCTAATTCCTAAACCCGCTCCCACTTAACTCAAACCACGCTCAACTACCTGCACAAATTAACACTGCAATTTTGAGCCCGACTTAACCGAAGTCAGTCATAAGTGCGCTAAATCCTTCGCAACCAAAAATGCATAAAATACACTTGACTGTGGTGTACATACCTGCATGTATAATCATCACGAAATGTTCTCACCTTGAGCCCAGAAATGTGCGAGCGTAGGCATTTATGAAAACTTTCTCGCCGAAAAAGTTGTGGCTTATAGTCGTACATACCATGCCATAAACTTTGTTAAAAGCCGAACGTCACTGAGAACACTACAGTGGCCTACGCTCCTAGATTGCAATAGTCCTCGAAAGAAACGCACTCTCACGCACGCACGCACGCACACAAACGCACGCACGCACGCAATTGTGCGTTCCTATAAGGTGGATATACACGCACGAACCCTACACGCACTGACACACGCAAGAAAGCATACACCCATATTATGGCAAGTTCATAAACCAACTCTCCACAAAGCTGCCAAACAAGTTACTTAAAGAAAAATGTTCCTGAAGTGAGAAATACTTGGAAATTCATCGTTAGAAATAACCACATATAAAGTTCTGCTACATTCTAGAAGCCATTATTTATATGTGCATCGCCTAATCACTGTAAGGTTTGCAACTGCCAAAAAATACTAATCTATACATCAATATTTCACACTACAGTAAATGGTAAATAAGGAACAGCAAAAAGTTGTTAAATTCTTATTAATATTTAACATGTAATATATAAATCAGGCGTAGAGTGCACTGTACAAATACAGGCGATTTGCATCCGTAATTACTGCTCACACTAAACATGCAAAATATGATTTCTTATGTTTATCAAATGTGATGTTTTTTAATAAAGATTTAAAAAACTTCACTAGTCAATACAGTATTCTATCAAAATGTATGAATGATTGAACCAGACTTTTTAAACAAGGTGACGTACGGCAAAGACCTCATCTCGTCCAAACAAATGTTAGAAACATCTGTCCGCATGTCTGTAAACACCAAGAAATGTGTGAACATGTTCAATGTTCATTCCCCGCTGACCCCAAGCCTCACATAAACATTACACAACTCTACATGTACCAGGAACACGAGGCAACACAGACGCTTACTTGTCTCAGGCGTTCTGTAACGTGCTACTAACCACCACAGAGCTCCTAAATAAAGTTGCTACCAATCTATAATTAGACTGCAGTTGCAGCTATTTTCTATAGCATGTGGAACGGCATGCTATGTGTACCGGAAGCCAGGTCAGGGTCTGGGAGGTTGACAGCCTGCTTAAGACTTGCACATGTTCTTCCACCAGTTACATTTACCGATAGTTGGCTATCAGTATCACCCAGCAATGCCAGCATACACGTACCGACGTACACATACGCAGTATGCACGCACACACGCGCGCGCACAGACGCACACGTGTACAGGCGTACGCACACACAGTATGCACGCACACACACGCGAGCACAGGCGCACGCATACACGTATACGCACATACGGACACACGCACTCAAGCAACCCTTCGAGACGGGAGACGGCCCATTCCACGCACGCACGCTAACTGGCGGCACATGCGGCATCGGGAGCTCCTGAATCCCAACTAGACAGGAAATGCAGACAAAGACCTGCGTTGTATCAGCAAATCCCACCGCCTATCCAAGCACTGCGATGATTATTGGGCAAGTTCAAGAGAAGGTCCCCTTGCGGTCCCATACGTAACGCACCATGTTTTCTTAATTACATAATCATCCCAAGGACAAATAACAAATAAATTCTTGTGGGTATTCTCCTTGCAGATGTCCAACATTGGATTAAAAAAACAGTGAAATCAATGACTATCTTAATTGCTTTTCAGAGGGTTAAACTTTCTGAATGTCCTACAAGTAACGTACCCTCTTGGACAAATTGTTGTTCTCTGCTATAAACCTCAACCTACGCGTTCCAATCTCTACGACATGCGGGGATAACGAGACTATGAGACATCTCATGGAATGCCGCTTATTACCAGAGCCCTGTAGACCTAGAGACCTGGAGTTGTTTTCAACGACCGTGCCAGGTCCTGTGTGCTGTAGTGGATAGGTCGAGTGTGTAGCGACCCGAGAAGAAGAAGGCCTTTACTACCACTATTTACCTAAAGCCGCTACTACTATTACCACTACATACCTGCAACTACCACTACTATTACCACTACTACGCCTACACTCTTCACTACACTACAACCCTACATAAAACCCTACAACCCCTACTACCTGCATATAACTGCACCTAAATACCTAAACCCCGCTCCTAACTAACAGCTACGTTCATTGCCACGGCGCGATTTCTGAAGCCCGTAGAAGTCGTTAAAGTGGCTAATCTTCGCAACAAAATGCATAAATACACCTATACTGTGTGTACCATACCTGCAGTATAAAATCATCACGAAATGTTCTCATTGAGCCAGAAATGTGCTCCGAGGTAGAGCATTTTGAAAACTTTCTCGGAAAAACGTTTGGCGTATAGGGTAACATAGATGCACATAAATTGTTGTTAAAAGCGAAGCGACTGAGAACGCTAACTGTAGGCCTACGCTAGTGCAAATAGTTCCTGGAAAGAAAACACTATATTTGTTTGCTGATTGCATATGTAACGTAGATAACATGATTTAAACAAATTTCACAATTTTGTACTGAACAAACATCGAATAATAAATTATCTTGTTTTATCATAGAAAAGAACTGTAAGGAAAATTGCTATAGCTCGGCTGTGTCCCGGATGTGTAAACTCTGTGTAAACATTCGAAAGTACTAATTACGTAAAACTGTTTAGGTTTGCTGAAGAAATGTTATGAAAGTAGCAATACAAATGCAGTGAATTTTTACAACACAGACGAGCTCACAGTACAGTAAAAACCCGCGTATAAGAACATAGATTTTTCCAAGTTAGCCTCAATATGTTCTTATGTAAATGGTGCTTACTGAAAAATTAGGCTCAAAAGGTTCTTAAATAGGTTCTTAATTGTTTCTACTTTTAATATGTATAAGCTTATACTTGATTCTATACTTGTGTTAAAATTTTCTTACAAGGACTGCAATTTTTGCTAATTAATACCCATGATGGGCTACAGTGTAAGTTTTTCAGTGCTTACCATACTGTATGATACAGTATGTATCCAAGGAAACAAAACAACATGCAAAAAGATGCGTGCCAAAAAAAGGTGCTGGAACAGCATCGGTAGTGTTGAGCTCCGTCTTTTTGTATTTTACGGTGAGTTTGCTATGTTAAGGTCTTGCATGCGCATAGGAAAATTAAGCACAAAACCTGTACTTAAAATCGTAGCCTAAACAGGATTTCTGATGTTAAGGAGGTCGAATGGGAATTTTAGCGTAACATGTATCTGAAGATCGAGGCTTCTTATACCTGCGGGTTTGTAGGGAGCGTAGATATTGGTATGATTTGCTGCGAGATTAAAGATGCCATTGAGAACCGCCGTCGGACGATAACAGCAAGACGGAATTAACGACGATGACGATGACAGGACGGCACGAGAGATGACGAGGAACAATGACGATACGACTGACGATGACGATGGATGATGACGCGATGACGATGATGACGATGATAAGTGGCGAATAACCTCTAGTTGCGCGTGGAGCGGCTATCATGCGTTCATCGTCGCCCGGGTGCGAGTAAACGAAGCCGCCGCTCAGCTACGGCTGTAGCCGAGGATGCCATGCCGCGTGCTGTTGCTCCCTGAAGCATGGCAACGACATGGCAGCGTGGCTATGGCCCACTCACCTCCTCGCAGACGAAGTTAGTCTGTGAGCTCCTCGCACAAAAACTGCCCGAAATAGCCCGCAGCGGGGTTTGCGCATGAACTAGCTAAGAAACTACACATGCGGCTCATGTCGTTGCACTCTCAATTTCTGGGCTTCGGCTAGCGATAATGTTCTCATCGCCCCCTGTTCTCATGCTCTCGCTCTCTCTCTCTGCTCGTCTCTATCTCTCTCTCTCTCCTGCTCTCTCTCTCTCGCTCCTCGCTCTCGCTCTCTTCTTCTGTCTCTGGGTGTGTGTGTCTGTACGTGCAGTTCCTGCAGCTAGTGCGTGATGTACGTAACCTTGCGTGCCATGCGTAGTGGATGCTTGCGGGCGTGGTATGCACGTACAGCGGCTGGTGATGCGTGGTTGTACGGTGGGAGCTGTTGGTAGCTGCACGTACACATCGTGATGGGTCGGGGTGTTGCATCGTTACAGCGTAGTGGCGTGCGGTGGGTGCATGGTGTACGTGACAATGCGTGCCAGGAGTGCGTGGTAATGTGCACGTGTGTGAATGTGCGTTGGTGCGGTGTTGGATACATGACGTGCATCGGGCACGGACATGTGCGCACGTAAAGACGCTGTGTGCAGTGCGTGGGGGCATGCGTAGTGTTGTGCATGGTTCAGATGGGAAGGAGGCGGTTGCTTTTGTGTGGTGTGGAAGATTCAGCCGCGGCCCCATTGAGACCCCATCCAACAGGCGCATGTGTGTGAGCCTGCGCAACCCCGCACTGTCGCCCTGCGCGGCGCGGCCGTGTGTGTGTTGACCCGGCCGCTGCCGGGGTGGTGCTGGGTGTGGCGCTCGCTCGTGGTGTGTGCGCTGTACGCGCCCGCAGCTGTCGTGTACGGTGACCCCGCCCCTCGCGCCGCATGTGTGTGTGATGTGCTGCGGGTGGGCTGGCGTGCCCTCGGGGGTGGTGCCGCTCGGGGCTGGCGTGCTCGGCGGTGTCGTGTGCTGTGGGTGCCCTGGGGGTGTGGTGAGCGGCGGGTGTGCCGCGCGCGCCGCGACGTATTGGCGGGCTGTCTAGCGGTCTCTCTTTCTCTGGGCCCCCCCCGCGCGCTCTCGCTCGCTCTCGTGCGCGCGGCGCGCACGCGCGCTCACGTTGGGGTCTGGGTCTCTCTCCCTCATCGTTCCCTCTCTGGTCAATTAATGAGTCAAAAAGCGTACAACAGGCGATTTCGGAAGACCGGCGGCGCAGCAACAGGAACGCCAGAGACGAATCAGACACGGACAATTCAGGAGGCTTATAACTGACAAATATGTCCGACAGGAGTCACTGGTACGCCCCAGGCAAGCGGGGAAGGAAAAAAGAAACATGCAGGTCGAACGAACACAAAGAAGGACATGCGCGGTTCACTGCAGCAACAAAGTGAGCCAGCAGGAAGCAAGGCGGATGCTGGTGCTGACGGTGATGTGCGTCGCAGAATGACAAGAAGCGAGCTGGATCTCAGCGCAGCACACGATACCTCCAGGTGTTTCGTGACTTGCTCGAGGGCAGGCATTTAGGACGGGTCCCGTCGGAATAAGTCGAAATCCGGGCTCTTGGCTGCGGGGCCCAATCTAGATCGGGGCGAGATTCGCTAGCTGCTACGTCATAAGGCGAGGTCAGATGCCATCTGCTCACAGTCATGATATAGGTGCGCGGTGTACGCGTGCGTGGTTCTGTCCAGGGTCTGCGGGCGCATGCGTGCTGCGTGAGGCGTGGTGTGTGAAGGAGCGCGGCGCGTCGCCGTCGTGCGCTGCGTTGAAGTCGCGTGAGTGTGAATGTCGTGCGCGCTGTACGGGCGCGTTTGTTCTGCGTGTACGTGCGTGAGAAGTGTCGCGCAGGCGATTCGCATTTGAAGTGTCTGGGGCATCGGCGGGGAATCACGTGATAGAGCAGAAGCCCGATCTCAGCGGTGGGAAGGCCGGAGCTTGGCAGGGCATAGCTGAGCATCTTCTCAGAATGTATGCCAACGGTCAAGTCGCGGGCACGGTTAGCAGGTCGACTCAGGGGGCCTACACCCGACCTAGTAGTGCGCAATACGAGACAGAGCTGACTCACTCTCGCTGAGCATCACTGAGCTAGCACTGCCACTGCAGCAAAGCTGTAAAGATGTCTATGGGTTACACGGTATACAACAGTCGGCGGTAGGTTAAGCGGGGGGGGGTAAAAGTTTGGGGCATCAAAACGTTTTTGTAAAAAATATGAAAAAAAAGAAGTGTTCTGACGAAAAAGAGAATTGGGCGGAGTTCAGATGAAGGTGTACAGGTACTCAAACGGGCGCAAATACACTTCCTGCCGATCTACATGCCAAACTTTTCGGGGAGGACCCGCATACACCCCCGCCCGTGTGGTTCACTCCACCCCTTAAGCCACTCCCTACCACTCTACATCCTCCGGGAATCGCTTGGATCGACACTGAACGTACATATCTAGGGAGCCAGAGAACAATGGAACACAAATGTCGCCTTGTTACATGGCGAACCAAAACAAAGATGCCAGAGCTGAGAGGGCGGGGGAGCTAGGGTGTGGGAGAGGAGCGGGGCGGCGCGGCAGGCGCATAGGGTGTTGAGGAAGCAGGGCGAGGCTGAGGAGCCATTAAAATATTAAGGTGCATAATCACTCTTGGTGCGCAGGTCGCGGTTGTTGGCACCCCCTGGAAGAAATTGGCGGGCGACGCATCTGTATACATCGCGCACGTTCAGCGCTGAGACATATCGAGCGCGACAATGTCGTAAAACGAGATTCCGACTCACGAGTAGCGCACGGGGCGCTATTGCTCAAGCTTCGGGCTATAGGGATGACCCAGCCAGGGGCTAGCTTAAAGTAAGTGACAGGAGGTGGATGTGATTACATCATATGGGGCATGGCTAAGAAATGACTGTATACACTACAAAATTTGACTGATCAGTGGGGGGTCTGAGCAAGCTGTCACGGATAGTTCAGTAGACAAAAAATCACCGTAGGGTTGATGGACGATTATAGGCTAGGCGTATTTTTTTGAAGTTTGCTCCAAAAGCTAGGAGAGGGCAGCTGCCCCCTGGCGCCCCCCCACAGGCCTACGGCATCTCGGATATATTATATATATAGATACGGTCGGCCCACGGCGGAATAGTGTGCAACAGTACCTTTTACAGGCTGTTGGGCGCGCCCACCACAACCACAACAAGGACCGTACGCATACGCACGCACACGTTCAAAACACACGCCAACGCAGCCGGCAATTATGGTGCCTATAAGAGTGGATATTACACAGCACGGCAACCCGTACACGCACTGACACATCCGCAACGAAAGACATCGAACCCGATATATGATGCAAGGTTTCATAAAACCAACCGGCTCCACAAAGCTGGCCAAACAAGGACTTGAAAGAAGGGGCCGGAAGTGAGAGAAGACTTGGAAATTCCACTCGTTAGAAATAACCAAGATAAAACGTTCTGCTACTTCTAGAGCCATGTATTTATATGTGCATCGCTGATCACTGGTAAGCGTGGGCAAGTCAGAAAAAAAAAACAAAAAA